TTACCTCAGTCTGCCTCATGGAAAGTTTTCCCTTTGTCTTTTTGTCCTATTCTTTCTTCTTTTAGGAAAATCCAATCGAAAAAGCTGCCCATGAGAAAGCAAAGAGGGATTTCTTCATGACAACAAACTTCTATGGAATGAGCTGGAAGCTGAAGGAAGAATGGCAAGTTGGACATTCACCACATTTTGATGCACAGCAAAGAATGAGAGAAAGGAGCAGAGGGAAGGTCGCAGCTGTTTCCCTTTGCACCCTCATGGGTGCACAAAGAGAGATCAGATGTATACACAGTCCCAAGGGGCACTGTCTTGTTCAGAAAAGGTGCCCAGCTTGCACCCACTGGGGTGCTCCCTGACCCAACCTCAGAGAAAAGGAGATGGTTCACTGGCACCAATACTGTGAACCCCTTCACCCATGTAAGAAACTAACTGTTGTCCAGGGAGAACTGGAGGAACTGAAAATATCTTAATGTGCCCTAGGCAAGGACAAAGTTGTTTATTTGACACATCTCAGTAGCAGACAGAGCCAGGAAATATTTCTCAGCTATTTTCAACAAAACATGACAACTATACAAAATTGGCAAGGCTGTACCATTTTTCCCTAATGTCCAAAACAGTGTTCATTAAAATGTGTCTCTCCTAGTTTGCCAGTAATGTTTATTAATTACTTTGAATAGTTTCTGGTTTCTCCCAGGAAAATCTGATAATTCCACTGCAAAGCATGTGACAATCCTAGTCTGTCCATATCATATGCTGCATTGCATAATTTAATATCTTGCTAAAGATAATGTGATTTTTTTTTAGGTTTTTCAGGTATGTGAACCTGCTAAAGGTGTCTTTTTTTCCTACAATTCAAGGAATATTCCAAGCTGGGACTGGAATAATTTCAGAAAAAATACAGCTAAATCTTGGCTCTGGTTAGCGAATAACCTCTTGCAATGTTCTAACTCTGAGCTCCAGCCATCTCAACCCTGTAGAAAGCGTAGTTCAGATAATTCCCAGGGAGCAGTGGGTAGGGGGAAGAGTTTGATCTAGTAGAGCCCAAAACAGTGGATAATGATATGAATCAAGGGTTTACAAGGTGAAAAGTCTATGTGATGCGATGCTTGTTTGGGGGAACAGGTTATTGCATTCACACTGCCATCTTATTTTCAGTCATTGGAATGTGTACATGTGCTTCTCTTATGCTGACTTGCAAACTCAGCAAATTCAAGGCAACGATGGGCACTGAGGGTGAAATTCTGACCCTCCTGAAGCCAATGGGGTTTCAGTGGGGCCAGGATGTCACTCTGGAAGTTTGATTTTTATCCCACCCTTGGGTTGGACACACTTTTCCACCTAAGCTCATTTGTGAGAGCAGCTGGTACCCTTGAGATGTTTTTTACACTTCTGATCATACCCAGCAAAGACGTACTTTTCCTGGCTGACCAAGAGACATAGAGACATCATGCAATTTGTAAAAAGACAGACAGACAAGTAACAGAAAGGAACAAAATGGAAAGGAAAGGGGAAGGGGAAGCCTGCCCCAGAAAAACCTGGCCATTGCAGCTCTGTTATTTCTGGATATCTGTAGGTAAAGTCATGGACTAGCAAAGACTTCTGTACAAGCACAATGAACATGCTCTGCTGACTGACCAGTCATGTATCAACACCAAGTAAAGAACAAATATACACAGGAAACCAGCATTAGGGAGAGGATAGAGGGAGCTCTGGTTGAAAAAGGTAGGCACACAGCAAGATTTCCCATTCAGTCAAAAACTCCAAGAAGTTTGGAAACCAGCAGTTCCCAAACTAAGGCTCACCACACTTGCAGGTGAGGTAGTGAACCCCAAGGGAATTCAATGGGAAGATTCAGGTTAGCACCAGAAGTGTAGTCATGAGAGGATCACAGAATCATAGGAAAGTATGGCTGGTAGGGACCACACAAGGTCATCTAGTCCAGCCCTGCTCAAGGCAGGATCATCCCTGACTAAACCTTCCCAGCCAAGTGTCTATACAACTTGCTCTTGAAAATTTTCATGGATGATGATTCCACAACTTCTCCAGGTAGCCTGTGTTTGACCTCCTTCATAGTCAGAAATTATCTCTTAATCTTCAACCTAAATTTTCTGTGCTGCAGCTTGAGTCTGTTGCTTCTAGTTCTGTCCCGTATGGCCACAGACAAAAGCCCATCTCCATCCTCTATGAATGTCCTTCTAGTATTTGAAAACTGTTATCAACCCCACCTCTATCTTCTCTTCTCCAAGCTAAATAATCCTAGTTCTTTCAGCCTTTCCTTATAAATCTTGCTTTCCAAGATAATTTTTGTCACTCTGTGCTGGACTCTATCCAATCTGTCCACATCCCTCTTGGTGAGACAACAGGGCTGAATGCGGCAGAAGAATCACTTCCTTTGATTTGAAAATGACATTCCACTTAAGACTAAGAACTGCTGACCAAGACACTACGCTTGCATTTTTCTTCGAATTTTCCACTGCTGCCTTAGCACCAGTAATTTCTCATGTAGGAGCAATCCAGTACTTTAACCAATGTCAATCCTTGCCCAAAGCAGGTTCAGAAAACACAAGGACTAAAATGGTGGTGGATGTCAGTTGCCTGGCACTTTTATTGTCACTACTACTCTTTCAACCATATACTAGTATGGATGTAACAGTTGAAATGAAAGGAAAGATTATTATATGATAAGGTATATGGTGACAACAGCTACAGAAAACCTACAAGCTAAGGCAAGCTTAAATTAGCATTAGATACAACAGTAAGGACCATTTTTAGAGTGTGATCTCAGAAGACAACATTTTGTAAACTCTCTTTGTGGGGTCATTTAGTTCTGGTTGGAGATGGAACTATTATGACTCAAATCCCAGTCAAACCCTAGTTGCTGATAAATGTTTGGAAATACCCTGAGTCACACAGCACAACATCTTAAAAGCTGAGCTCAAGCCAATTCAAACAACACTGGACTAGCCACCTGGAAACTGGAGGTGCCAACTTAGTTGGAAATCTCCTTACAGGAACAGTTTTCTCCAGGAATCCCTTAAAAATGCTGCATTTTGGACACTGGTCTCATGCCAGGATGGTAGTAAAGATAAGTTTCAGTTGGCAGAGAGGATCTGTGCAGGTTTAGCACTGGTCAGACCGAGTCGAGTGATGTGTGAGTCCTGGGGGAGCAAACACAAGTGGGGACTTACAAGAAAAACCCCTTATGTGGAAGAAGGTAAAAGGAGCAAATATTTAACCCTGGTGCACAGACGACTTTACTTTGGCATCACTAACTCTGTTCTCAGTCCTGTAACTTATTCAGAAACCTCCAAGGTGCTGGCTGATTTAAGACTGATTCATGTCTAGATTTGAAGTCTGCCTTTCCAGAGTATTTGTTGAAGGTTTTAGCCTCTATACTGTAAATTAGTAGAACACGTTCAGGTGGCCTCATTCAGAAATATGGGACGGTTTGAGGAGAGAGAAAGTTTAAGTGAAGAAAATGGAAAGAAATAGGCTAACACTCACCAAGCTGGAGAAGCTCAGGGAAACATAGCAATTAACCACAATAATGAGTACGTTTGTCTGCATCACTAAAATCAAAGAGAATGCTCTTACAACAGTTATCCTAAATGGTGGCATGAAGGCTGCAGTATGTATGACGAATAGTATTAACAGTGTTAGCACTAGTATTTAAAAATATTACTGCAAAACACTATAGAGCTTTAAGCAGTTGATATTTGTTTAATAAGGCTTGGTTTCTTTATACTGCAAATCTAAATAAAAAAACTGGGGTTTTTTAAGGATTATTTTTGCTTTCTGTGATGGAATGATCTGTATAAACCCATCTACTAAGAACTAGATAATTAAGCATTCCAAACCATCAACAAGATGGCTAAAATGGTTGAAACCACAAATACAGTCCCCTCTCTTCTCTCTTCACAGCTGGGAATGGGCAATACAGAGCTGCCACATTCCAGCAGGGAGAATACTCCACAATTTCAGTTCAGAAAAGGAAGTTTTATTAGGAGAGAGATAATAACATGTTGTTTGACACAGAGAGAGATGCCAGATGGCTTCTTCCTGCTAATGGTCTTTCCTTCTCTCAAAAACCGTGCTGTAATTTAAGACACAGTTGCTGCCTGCAGATAATAAGCAGGACATGCTTTCGAAAAGAAGCTACCCTGGGTTGAATGAACACAAGAACTACTGTAATTAAGTGCATATGTCAATCCACAATCAGTTGGTTCTGGAGCACGCGCTGGCTGTGTGTTTCACATTTTCTCACCGAGCTGTTGGCATTCGGGGAGGCTAACTCTTAAGCTTAGTGCCCTGCAACATACTAAGCTCAGTTTAAGCCGACCTGGGTTTCTTCTCTTCTCTCTCTCCTGTGGGCTGACTCTCAATATGCTCTCAGTCTTATTTGTATCCTGAAATTACAAAAAAGAGGCAGAATTCGGCCAGGACATGGCAGTGTTTCAGGGGTAGAAACTGCAGTCCCTCCTGCAGCTACAAATAGTTATATTGTTCTACATGTGCATACACATATGCCATTCCAGTGTATACTCGGTCTCCCCACACGCTCTGCAGCATCCCTGCACCTTCATTACATACCCATGCTCTGTCTCTTTTAACCCTATCACCCCTGCTTTCTCCTATACCATGTACGCATATGCTCTCATTTACCTTTTTCTGCACATGCTACCCATTATCATTTAACTTTCAGGGCATCAGAAGATAGACTGGGGCTGGATGGCAGGGCAGCAGAGATGTAGAGACTCTATGCACACTTATGAACATGTCTTACTTATGGGTAGACTTACTCTGCAAAATCCAGGGAGATCTGTAAAGATCTATAAGCATTTCTCTGCTATAGTTTAGCAAGGTTTGACCTCATAACTTCAGAATTTCGAAGACTACAAGAAAATACTTCATAACACGTATGCAAGCTTCAGAGCCAAGGGAAACCCAGCAAAGCCCCAGTGGTTAACCCATTCCAGCAGGCTGTCTGCCATCCCCATTCCTACCTTCACAGGCCTTCCCATCATCCTTCAGCTTCAGGCCACTGGAGCACTTGCAGTAGAAACTGCCAATAGTGTTGCAGCACTGGGACTCGCAACCCCCATTCTCTATTTCACATTCATTCACATCTGAAAGAGATGAGACATGGGAGAGAACACATGAGATGGCCATGGCGAGTCAAGTTAAAGGAATGCTCCATCTGCCATAAAAGCACTTCTATTTTTAATACACTTTTAATATCCTCCTGGTTTTCTTTTATTAGATGTTCAGTGCCAATAAGAAAAACACTGAAAGGTAAATAGCCAAATAGTTCCTGAGCTCATGCACAAAGAGTTTAAAATTTAAGGTATTGTTACTAAATATGTTTGTACTCTTACTGAACCCACAGTGCATACGTTTACCTGCACAAACACATTTTTCCTCACTTTGCCTCCCTGCACAATGCCCATGTTATCTAACACAGTGATTCCCAACCTTTTTTGTACCCATTTGTAAACACTGATGGCCAGTTCCCACCCAGTGCCCCTCACTACCAACCCGCTGCCCCTTTGCCCCCAACCCCAGACCCCCAGCTTGTGGGGCAGATGGTGGGTTTGTGGAGTAGAGGGATGCCCCAAGCAGCCTTTCCAGGCTGGACCTCTGCCAGCCTGCAGGGGAAAAGCCATGGTTTCCCACGTTTTTCTCTTTTAAAGGATAATTTATTTTTAAAGTTTGTTTGCAACCCCTTCATATATACTTGGAACCCACTTTTGGGCCCTGACCCATGGGTTGTGAAGTGCTGACCTAAGCTAATGGAAAGCAAGAAGAAATGAATCCACAGTGATAGGTTAAAGAAGCAAGTGAAGAAAAGATGAAAATCAGAAACAAGGGTTCACAGTCCTCATGTTTCAAGGTGTAAACTGGTCACAAGTTAGAAAGAACAAGAAGTTTCTGACTAGACAACAGAATATCACCATTAGGTGTACTGTAGAAGGTTTAGGCATACCATCACAACATTCAGGATCAGCCAGTACTCTGGACCATTTGTCATGCATGCATTGTCAGAGTGAAAGAAGACCAAATCTGTGAGTAAAAATGTTCCTTTTTGCACACCTGTGGCCAATGTGACAGCACAGTCAGTTTTAGAAGATTTCTTTTTCAAACCTAGCACCCTGTGAGGACTCACTGCCGCATTCCTTATGTAACTGTAGCCAGCAGTTTACTAGAGATGCCTTACTCATGAACTTGCCTCCCTGGCTAGGGACAGACATTCAAAATGCCTGAGCCTGAATTGATTCAAACTTTGCAAGTTAGTCTAACCTGGCTAGGCTGAACCACCCAGACATCCCCTCTGGACTGAGAAAGTTCAGGCACAGGCCTGAAGCCGCTCGGGCTAGAAGCTGGGGGGCACTACAGCAGCCCTCCCTTCCCTTCTACAGTGCTGAGTTGAGGTGTGGGGGGACAGGCCCAGGCAGGATGCTCTGATTAGGGAGCCCCCCCCCCAACCTTGCTAACAGAGCATTTATGAGCTCTGTTATCACCATTTAACACCCCATCAGAAAACAAAGCCTCGTTCAGAGCCATTACAAGCTCTCTCATTAGTTCAAGCTCTTCTTAAACAACTTTTTGCAAGGAAGGGAACATTCCAAGGAGGTACATTACCTGTCGATTATCTCCAAAAAGCCCTAAGCAGACACTATCCTGTCTGCTTTACACAGACACCTCTCAGCATTAGCTACCATACCACATGCTGCCTACCATCCCTGCTGTGGGAGGGAGTAGGGTGGGATCCCTTCTTGACCTGCGAGCAGTGAGGGGAGGGGACAGCAGGAGGAAGCCAGGCAGAAGCTCTGTGCCTTCAAGTTTCTGCCAGAGCTCCAGCAACAGAGCAGGGGGGAGGGGCCAGCCCTGCTCTGGAGCAGAGAGACCTGCCCAACCCAGAGAGCATGCTGGGATGTTGGGGGAGTCTGGTTTAATTTAAACCATCAAGGGGTCTGGGACAGACACTGCATAAACTGACTGGTTTGAGCCAAATCAGTTAAATTTGATTGGTATGATCTCTTTGGCTTCCCAGTCAAGCAAAATCTTCCATTCTTTACTCTTTGTCCTATGCATTTCCAAGGATGCTTCATTCAGTTAGGTTTATCCATTCAACCAGGTTTATCTCAAACGGGTTTCAGCCATTTTCAAACAGGTTTATATGCACTGAATATCTGTTTTGTTACAGGTTTAAACCAGTTTCTGATCATTTAAACTGGTTTATGTGTAATGTTTGTCACTAGCCCCTAACAGCCCAGAAGAGCAATGGGATAGGAAAGGAAGCTCTATTTCCCATGTGCAAAAGGAGATTACAGCAAGCAGTCATTAAACTAACCCCATAGGGTTCCTCAAACAGCCTGAGCCACCCAAATACTCATTGTGCCACACATCAGTGATAACATCTGGCCAGAAGAGTGAGAGAAGCAGGAGAAATCCATCTTTGCATGATTCCTAGCAGCAATCTTGGAAATGCATAGGACAAAGAGTAAAAAATAGAAGATTTTGCTTGACTGGGAAGCCAAAGAGATCATACCAATCTACTGACTACTGAGAATCCAGAAGTAAATGCTCATCATCTCAAATCAGCATGCCAGGGATCCAGTTAATAGCTTCTGAGATCATTAGCAAATAACTTCTAGTATTTTGTTCCTTTTCACAAAGGCACCTATCACAAAGCCCATCTCAGACTCTAAATCTCCTTTCCCACCCATCCTGCTTTCACATACACTGCTAATTTTCACACTTTTTTCCAGATTAGTTTTAGATACTATCAAGAGTCATGCAGAGCCTGCCTGTTTGATAAGCAGAGATTTGGGTTTTCCATTTCCCACAGAAAAAAGTAAAATGCAGATTTCTCATTTCAGCAGAGAAAGTTGCAGATTTTGCAGTTTTGCAGCAAGCCCTCTGCAGGTTGGCAGACTTCCAGACTGCCAGGTGCTGGGAGGGAGCAGGAAGAAGATGGTCAGGGAGGGGGCACCATGTACTTGTTCCAGGCAGCCTGGAGACCAGCTCCTGTTAGTAAGTGAGGGGGGAGGATTGAGGCCCCCATAGTGGGGAGGGAGAGAGTTGGGTAGGGCTGGGGCTGCTGCGCTGTCAGGCAGTGTGTGGGGCTTGCGGGCCAGGGCCACAATGCACAGCTGCACCGCCCCAGTGGGGAGTGGGATGGGGCCGCAGGTGGCTTGTTCAGGGGTTGGGGGGTGGCTTTCCACCACGGCGTGCACTCCCAGGGGGGCACGGGGGACCTGTGCCCCCCAGATCTGTGGGCAGGGTGGGAGTGGGTGCGTGCTGCAGGCTTGGGCTCCTGCCCTTCTGCCCTCCACTGGGGCATCCCAGCACTGCAGAGCACAGCACAGCCATGCAGGCTCCTGCCCCCGCCCTCCCCTGCTGCAGGCTTTGGCAGGGTGGGGCTGGCTTCCCACAGCTGTGTGCTCTTCCATGGGATGGGGGGACCCATGCCCCCCAAATCCGTGTGTGGGGTGGGGGTGGGGGCAAGTGCACACTTTGGGCTTGGGCTTCCACCCTGATGCCCTCCCCCATGGCCTCTGCAGCCCAGCTGCAGGGCAGAGCACAGTGGCGCAGGAAAGCTGCTTGCAGCTGTGAGCTCTGCGCTGCCCTGGTGCTGTGCCACTTGCACGTGCAGGGGCAGCACAGGTGGTGGCACAGGGTCGTGGCCTTCACTGCAGCTCCTTAGCAGACAGGCAGGAGGCTGGGGGGAGCCGGTTCTGTGCTCCATTCCAGTACAGCAACCTCTGCCTTCTGACGGAGGCAGGGGACTGTAGACCTGAGTCCCTGGTCCCATAGCCCTGGGAGCCAGGGGCCGCTCTGGCAGGGCTGGGGGTGGCAGGGGCTGTGGGGTGGGGAATGAGGGGCACCAGCAGGGCTGGGTGGGCCTGTGGGGGGACACTGAGGGCACCAGCAGGGCTGGGGGGAGTGAGGGGCACTGGCAGGGCCAGGGGGGCTGTGGGGGCCTTTAATTTTAATCATGGATTTGGTGGGGGTTTGTCAGAGAATTTGTGATTTTTTTTTATCAGGGAAAACCAGGATCCCTCTTAATAAGTCTCTATAGTATATGCTGTCTCTTACACTACGCTTTCTTGCATTATTTCTTTTTTAGGACCTGTTGGGGATTCCTTTCACTGAACTGTTGACAACAGCTTGGGAGCAAATACTTGCAACACAGACAGCCTTTCTAGGACCAGAATGCCTTACTTGCCCCACATGAGGAGTTTAGCTTATGTGCAAGTTTTTAAAAGCAAGACCATCGCTCCTGAATCAGAAAAGCCAGATCATTATGATATATTCCCACCCACACCTTCAAACATTAACTGAGAAAAACACTCATAAATTGGCTGATCAAGACCCCTGGAAGAATAACTCTGGAAAGAACAAGCTTAAAAACAAATAAATCTTGTAACATGGACTCAGGTGAAATACCATTTCAAGAGTAACAAGGACCCACTTTGTGCACATATTTTTTTTACCCATATATTTATCTGAATTATTCACTATAAAAAGTAAACCATGGGACCATCTCTGCTTCCACATCCACAACCAAGATGTGTTGCATAGCTGCCTTTTTCATCTGAATATTTTATATCAAAGAAATAACGATACAAACACTGAATCGAAGAATCACAGACACTGAGCAAAGAATTCAGGCTCATTATTTATGAATATAAAAAGTAGTAGTTTAAGCAGCAAATGTACTAAGGGCGCTTTATTGTAACATTGGTAAACTACAACACACACAAAAATGTCTGAAAATTAAAAATGATCAAAATTTGAAAGAAAATCCAAAGCATCAATACCTTCTTAAATCTGCAGTGACAAGCATAGTATACATGGGTCTACAGGCAGACAAAATTAATTAGAAAAATAGACACAAGGAGTCAGACAAATGGGCCTGAAAACACTTTACAATAAGAATAACAATATAGAGATTACAAAAATTAAATTAAACTGGAGTCTGAAAGCAAATCATCCAGAATGATCTCTGCGCACAAAAATGTTACTGAACTTTATTTTGGAAACCCTGAAAAGGTTTTAGTATTAGTATAGGCTTAATCTAGCTAATCTGTAGTTCATCATTATTATTTTACTTCATTTAACT